AATTCTATATATATAAACAGAATGTAAGAATAAAGTCTTGTATTTGGGATTATTTTGAACCATTATAACTGAAAGTTTATGTGCTTTGTGCGTAAGTCTCATTGGTTGATAGAGCCCAGGTGCAAATAAAATCTTCTCCATCAGGAGCTGTAATTTTCTGTTATTTTATACTACAACAGAGAAGGGTCCGTATGCAGCTGGTTTTTGTCTCTTATGTCTCCGTCTTTTCTCCTTTTTGTTCAATCTCAACCGCTAAGTAAGTATTAGGAAAAAGTGAAACTACTGATTACGAAAATAAGAAGAATTTTAAACAGCAAAAGAAAACTTCTGTTACAAAGCAGCTTCTTCACACACCTGACCAAAGTCTTAAAATCATAGAAAGCAGATGTTAAATCATAAACAAAATACGGTTTTTACTCTTCCTTCTTTACATTACAATTACCATTTAAACTTTCGTTCAACAACTTGCAATGTCAGACTTCCAATCCTTGATACAGTGACCCCTAATAAAACTTTGTGCTGATCAGTAGAGGAGCTGAGAGAATGCAGTTGCTTAACTATTTCTATGAATTTGTGAATTAACAGCCACTATATCTGCCTACTCGCTCAGAACAACTTTTCATTTAATGACACTTTCAGTCTGACAGTCAAAATTCTGCTGGTTTATCTCTTTGTCTCTGACCAGATCAGTGAGGCTGTCACTGCTTCGAAATGTCATCTCTCGTCATGCTTCTGTCCTGGAGGATTTAAGTTGTGCTTTGGAGTGCTGGGGGAGAATTTGTTAGTGAGAAGTGGTGGGTAGTTCCTGTTGGTATAGTCCTTTTCTGCTTTTGGTAATTGTTTTTTACAATGCATTGAAAATATATTGTGCTTTTACCCTTTAAAATATGAGTAGAAATTTTTTCTCATTATAAATATTAAATTTGTAGTTGATTATTTTAACTGTGAAAAGCTGATTAGCTCTCTTGCCACCAAGTTGTTTGGTTGACATGTCAAATTTCATTCTTTCTTTAAGAGAGAAGGCAACATCTTTGCTTTAGAGAATGTCCATGTAAAATGTGTTTTGGAAAAATGAAGAGTTTTATCAGAAATTAGATTTGGCTTGACTTCAGTTCTCCTATCCAAAACTGATGCAGTAATGATGAATACGAACGTCAGAATATATTTATGCCACCCTAAAACAAGGGTAGTTACTATATTTACCAAGTATGTTACTGATAATATGCATAATACAGATTTTAGTATGATTCTATGCGTTAAGTAGCTGCAGATATTGTTGTCGGTGCCTGAGTATGTAACAGCTACAGCTTTTTTGATTGCATGCTCATTTAAAGCTTGTACCCGCATGTCTTAGGATTTTGCTAACGGTCAGGGTAAGCAGTGGCCGGGAGTTTGGGTATTCCCTTACCTTGTGTTGTGCGCCTTGCCTGACACACCTGGTCTGGTCCCAGAGGTGTGGAAGGCCAGACAGTTCCTGAACCAACACTTTTGCATTTAAATGGCCACCAGAGGTTGCTGCAGAACGGCGGACGCAGCTGGGGAGAGGTTTTGAATTCAAAGCTGGATCCTGAACTTAGCAACAAATTGCACAGTTCAGGTTCTGACGTGATTATATTCCTTTCAAATAGAGTTGAAGCAGAGGTTAACCCTGACTTCTTGTATGTATGTGGTGGGTTGATCTTGGCTGGATGCCAGGTGCCCACCAAGCTACTCTATTGCTCCCCTCCTCAGCGGGGGCGGGAGAAAACAAGATGGAAAAAAACTCGTGGGTCAAGGTAAAGGCAGTTTAATAAAGCAAAAGGAAAGGCTGTGCCCGGAAGCAAAGGAAAACAAAAGATTTATTCTCTGCTTCCCATCAGCAGGCGATGTGCAGCCACTTTCTGGGAAGTGGGGCATCAGAATGTGTAGCAGTTGCTCCGGAAGACAAACATTGTAATAATGAACGCCCCCCACCCCTTCTCTTAGCTTTTATTGCTGAGCAGACATCAAATGGTATGGAATATCCCTTTGGTCAGTTTGGGTCAGCTGTTCTGGCTGTGTCCCCTCCCAAGATCTTGCCCACCCCAGCCTACTGGTGAGGGGGGAATGGTGGAGTGATAGCCCTGATGCTGTGTAGCACTGCTCAGCAGTAGCCGAAACACTGGTGTGTTATCAACACTTCTCTAGCTACCAATACAAAGCACAGCACTATGAGGGCTGCTATGGGGAAAATTAACTCCATCTCAGCCAGACCCAATGCAATATGTTTATTTCATTATACAGAAATGTACTTCTCTGTGTGCCAGTATAATTGTGAGGACCAAAATGCATTGGTTCAGCATCCCGGTTTCTGTAACTTTGTATGAAGGAGGTTCTTGCAGTGAAAGTTCATTTTTCTAGAGTGTGCTTGGACAGCACTTGAAACTTTGCTGTGGTAAAAATGTAAAAACATTTTTTAGGAATTTTAAAAAATCAAATGCTGTTCTTGATTATGTATTACTCATGTTTAAATTTTTGATCAGCTCAATAAACGTGTGCATTATGGGAAAAATTAGCTTCATCATTATACACATGTAACAATTCTTAAATGGTTCAGTATGCGTTAGAAACAAGAAAATTAAATCAAGAAGTAAACCCAAAACCTATGGGGAAAAAAAAATCACCTGAAAGAACATACTCGAGGGGATAAATGGTAGGAATTGTGTGGCATATTTGTAATAACATAACATCACACATAAATATATGCTATTTCAGTCTTTTCAGAAAGTATGCTGTGGCAAAAGTACACCAGACTTTCTGATGCATAGTATGGACCACTTTCATTGTTTGTTTAGAATGTAATAGTACTTTATGCACCTTTATTTTTTAACTTAATGTCTGTTTCTGTAAGTCTGTAAACCTGTCTGTGTGTGAGTTAAAATTACATTTTTGTGTCTAGGACTTGCATGCTCAATTATGCTAAGTGAATTTCTGTGTTTGGAAAGCAATAGGAAAATGCACTTTCTGATTAAGCACAGTTTCCATATACTCCCTCACAAGAATGAAAGCTATAATTTTTCTAAATATCAGTTACAGCTAATAAGTTACTCTGTGTGTGTGTGTGTGTGTAAAACAAGTAGGATAGTGTGTAAAGAATTCAGCAGCAGTCTGTTAAAGCTATGATTCTACACTAAGCGAAGATACACATGCTTTATGCAGATCAAGTCAAAGAAATGCTCATAAAACCTTTAATGCCGCATCATTGTTTACGATCCATATGCAAAAAAAAAAAAAAGGGAAGAAAATATTTAAAGCATATTTTATCCAAGAAGTTAGATGGAAAGAGTTCAGATGGAGCTTTAGAAAACCAAGAAGTGAGAAGTAATTTCTCTATAACTAAAATTTAGCTACTTAGGTCATCCTGGGGCTTAGAAGCTAGTGCCTGGTTGCATTTGGAGAGAGACTGTTCCTTTCTTTGTGTTATGCTCTGCTACCCATACTACAGGGCTGCAAACCAGTAAGTCTGCTAACATTCAGCATACAAAGAACGTCACAGAAGAAGCAGTGTCCATGTGAAACTTGTTAATGTGTAGTTTCTGGGGATGGAAAATCTATAGAAAGGTGTTAGGAACAGGACCACTTTTCTCATTCCTTCTTAAGATATAACAATGGGATTTGGAAAATTGGAATAATTCCTTGGATAGATAACTATTTATAGGAAGTTTACTCTGAATTGCAGTTTATGAGTTTTAAAGAGTTGGGCTGGAGCTCAGGGACATCTTGTTCAAGGGCAAGAGAGCTTAGTCCTGTCTTCAGCACTCACATAGGAAACACTTGTATTCTGGTTCCCAGATATGGCAGTAATGGGAAGGAGAGGCATATATTTGTTTAGAAGTTTTTTATTTGAAAGTCAAATGTCTTCCTCCAAAAATTTGAGGGCAAGAATCACTAGTACCTTATTTTCAGTAAAATAGAATACACAATTTTTGTGGTTTCATATATCATATAAAAGACCGCTTTGTCTCCAGGAGAGCTCTTCAAAACCTAAGCTACACACTTAGCAAAAAGAAGTCCCAGTATCTGTGTTCGTGGGCTGTTAACTTAGTGTTTCTAAAGACATGGCAAAGGTTTCCTATCAAATCTCTCAAAATAGAATTAGATATCTCCAGAAAGAGTTCTATGGATGTGTAACAGTTGTTCAGGGTGTCACCAGACAGGTAATAATCCCAGTAATTCATCTCTGTTTCACATTAAAAAAAAATGTATTTCTAAATAACCTAAAATAAAGGAGAGAAAAATCGGAAGTTTTGGTATATAATATAAACCAGATATAAAGATACATAAAATGATATATGTATGTACATGTATATTTCACATTTTAAATCTTTTACACAGAAATGTGTAGAAGCTGTGCCGCTGGCTGGGACAAGGACAGCAGAGCATACATACAACTGCATTTCATATACTGAAATATATAGAATTTTCTAAGTTGTGTGCATTCCTGAGTTACATGCTTCTCTTTCAGCTAGCTAATTAACAGCCACTTTTGTCTATATTTAAGGTAATAGTAGCGAAGCTTCCGTTAGCTGAAGGTATGAGCCCTTTTAGCAGTTATTCAGCTGAGAAATCAGTAAATGTTTTTCTTAGCTGTTGCTTTATCCTTCAAATCGAATCTTAGTGATGGACTAAAGGGCTTCCAGCAAAGAAACTCAGCATGTTGAAAAAACTGCATAATACAGATGAATGTGTACACTCTGTGCTTTGGTATCTAGGAGAACCACTACAAACCCTGTTATAGGGAAAGATTAAGCCTAATTATCTGCAAAGGAGCATGGCCTCAAGTCTAGGTAGAGAGTACCAAGTAGTCAGGCCAGGCTGGACTAGAACAAGCAGCAGAAGTTGATCTTTGAAGAGGAAATTGAGATAATTTTCCTATTTTGAAGTAGAAGATGAGTGCTTGAATGAAAATGTTCTCGGAAGAATGTATGTCTTCATGTAGTGGTCCGTATTTCGATGCTTTATTTTATTTCCCTTGCCCACAGGAAATCCATCTTGCTTTTCTGAAATGGCTTGAGGGAAATGTGGATGCTGAAGGATTAAGAGCATCCAGCAAGGTGTCTCTTAAATTTGTTTCATCCTGTGAATCAAAAATGGAGATAACTCCATCTCTCATGCAAGTCATCACTGAGATGGGAAGCTTCTCATCAGAACATTTCAGCCTGAAGACATATCAACAGAATCTTCAAACAAAGAAGCTTGGAAAGATTATTCTTTTTACTGAAGTTACCACAACAACAATGAATCTTCTAGATGGGTAAGATAGTGTTCTAGACCATACTGAATAAGCTTTCTGATCTGGAATTCACAATTATAGTAACACACAATGTTTAGAAAGAAACTTTTTTCTCTTTGGTTTATTTGTTGCCTACAAGCTAGCCAAATTAAAAAAAAAGCTGATTATCTTCTAGATAGGACACAAAGTAGAGATCTTTGTGTTCACAGAATATTAATTGATAATGTATAAAATACTAAGCCATAAAGGTTGGGGAAATCTGAGTGTGACAACTTTTTACTTGGCAGTGGAGTTTAATTGTTATTCCTCTTGCAAAGCATGAACATTACCAGAGGAAAGTTTAAGGTATTAAATATGTGTATTTAGGAGATTATATGCATTTTCTAGTACAAGTTATTTTCTAAGCTAGTTATTTGACAAAAGTGGTACCAAGTAGACTGTGGCCTTAATTTTAACATTACTGTTTTCTCTCATTCCTTTTACTGAATATTTCACTAAAATGCTCTTTAGTGGTTTGTTGGGTTTTTTTAAACATCAGTTGGGGTTATGCTAGACATTCTTTCATCATCGCATAGATGACCCTTGTGAATGAGTTGTGGGATACCTTTGAGAAGGTAGTTCATTAGAGTTTTGAATGGGATTAAGCAATATGAAAATCACAGTTACTAAATCTTAGGTTGGAGTCTATGTACAAGGACTATACTGTTATGTTTCATGAAATAGTCTGGTGGAAAAAACTGTCTTTGGGAAGTTGTTGCTCTTCAGGACAGATTTTTCTATGTGTGTTTCTACCTGCAGCTATAACTTTTCTTGACAGCTACTTTTGAGTATCAGTGTTAATTTATCTGCAGAAATTGCAGTTGAATTTTAAGGTTGAAAATAACCTCAGGAAGTTTGTTCTGGATTTTTTTAAATCAATATCATCAGTTAAATAATCTTGAATGTTATTGGAACTGATTAGTTAACCAGCAATAACAGCTTTAGTTCTCAGCTAGAGAGCCTAAATTGTGAGACCAGTATAAGTTACAGAATGCCTTCTTGCAGGTAATAAAGGTGATTTGTTTTAGAATATATGCACACAAAATCTGTGAAGGGGGATGCATTATAAAAGTATTAAAGTAAATCAGTTTGTAGTCTTACAGTTGACACTGTGATAGAATTTACAAATTATAATTTGTGCTAAAATATTGCAATTTAGAGACAGTTGGAATCAAATACAAATTTCTTTTAATTCCAAACTATTATCCGTGTGTGCATATGTACTCATGTGCACACACATTAAAAAACACGTTGCTATCTAATTTTGCCACTCCCCTTCCTCCAGATCTACATCCTCGTCCTGCAACTGATTTTGCAATGGCTTTTGGACATAGACAGACATGCTAGTTCAGTAAGGGGCCACAAAGAAAAGAGTTATATTATAGAAGAATTTGTAGCATTTGCTTCTTAATTTTTAGTATTTACAGCATGTTCAGCCCACTGGATTGAAAGCAGAAGTATTGTGAAGAAACTGACAAAGTGATAATTTAATAGGTCAAAACCTTTCTTCTCTGACAGTTGTTTTTGGTGGTGGTTCTTGGTAACATTATTCACACATCTGAGTAAGATGAAGTATATAATTCAGAGTTCTGTGAATTTATTTAGATATCACAAGCTGAATGGAATCGTGTCTGGCCACTTTATATATGATTATATTATCAAGAAAGGCAAGAGAGCTAAGAGAAGTGGTCTTGGTTTTTCAGTGACTGTGGAACCTTTACTCTCTTATCTTTAAAGTGCTATACCAGCAGAGTGGTCAGCACTCAGGTTGCTTTTTTACATTAAGTAGCCCAAACGTAATGAAGTGTCTACAGGTGTAGGTCTTCAGGATTTTCCCCGTCGTGATACAGCTGAAGTAGTCGGTTTTCAGGTAAGATGCAAACTAGAAGTCCTGGCTCTAAGTAGCTTATACTGGGAAGATGATCCTAGTAAGATTATAATTTGAACAACTAAATTTATCTTATAGAAAGACCTTTGTTTTAATAAATTAAAATCTTTGTCAAGTATTATGGTTGGTGTTATTGTAAATACTTTGTCATGGATAATAAAATAATGTAGTCCGTGTGATTTGAATTCAGCAAAGTACATTGAGACTTCACAGATGATAACATTTCATAAATCACTAGAAATTGATGCAAATACCCATTAAGTAATTTTTATTGAAGAAAAAGGTTTTCAAGGTACTTCCAAATGAACCAATATAAATTTCTTAGGATATGTGTATGACAATTTTTTCTAATTACCGATTCTGAATGACAGGAAAACATATCTCAGGAAAAAAGAATTTCTTTGCTTGAACAAAAAATAGGTACCTATTGATATATTCGTGATTCCCAGAAAAAAAGTGTGATATCATGTTTATGTAATCACATATTGCAATAAGCGCATTTTACATGATAGAATCTCCTAGGTCTCTCAAATTTTACCAAGTTTGTGGTGATTGAATATATGATACAGACACCTCAAGAACTTAATTAGTGTGATCAGTAGTAAATTTAGTTAGTAAATTATAAATAAATTTAGCATTTAACTTTCATGACTTTAGATTTTCTTATACCTTTCCCACCAACTGGGTATCAAACTTCTGTCTCTCTTCCTTTCCACTTCCCCAAACCTTCATACCCCCAAAAAATTAAGACATGGAAGGAGAAAGTGGGCTGGAACTAATTTAATGGCTGAGCGACCTCACAGTAGAGAAACAGCCGGAGCCTAATAGGGGTCTTTGTCTGCATTTCCACCCTGGCTGGTAACGTGCCAGTCAAAAGTCAAGCAAGAGAAACAGGTGGAAACTATTAGACCTGTCATAAAGTTTGAAAAATTGATTCTGGAGGCTAAGTGAATAGATTGAACTTGACAGTGTTGTCCCAAAGATTCTAAGGGAAAATTCTGTAGTTTAATTTGGGATCCCTTGATTGTTCATTAGCTCTCCAGATGGCAGGTCTTGGCGGTTTGCGTATTAACATACACACTGTATTATCAGTGGTGTACATTTATGTGTCCTAAGGTAACAAATGAAGTGTGAATTCACCTGTAGGTATGTAAAATTAAATGGCATTAGTTTAATTCTAAAATAAAGATTTGTTTAAATGTCATATACTTTTAAATTATCAATATTGCTTTTATATTTCCATGTTAAAAGCCTTATTTGAATCATCTGAGACTATTTTTAAAAGCATTTCCATTTATATTTCTTAAACTAAAATTTAAAATCCTTACCAAAGATTAGAAGCTGCCTTGTTTTTTCTCTAGAAGGAAATTCCTTCTGTAAGTTTCATTTCAGAAACCTTGTCCTCAAAGGTATTTATCCTAATGCCACCTGAACAGGCTAACCTTGCCAGAAGTAGTTCCACTTTCTCAGTCTCCTCTCCTCAGAGCATGCCTGGGATTACATCGTTTAAGATGAAAACATTATTTTTGAGGATGCATATGGTACAGTGATACAAGTGTTACATTGTAGAGATATACTTATTAGACTCAGAAGACTTGAGAGTGATAAAGAAAATTTCTAGCACACTCTGGCTGGAACGGTTTCACAAGCATTTCATTAAAAAATAAATTAGTTAGATATACATTTCAATTTTATTCTTTACTGGCACCTTATATCCTGTTCTAATGTTTTAGTTGGCAGAAGATTTGATTTATATGTGATTAAGCCAGCATGTGATATATTCTATATGAAATGCCATTGTGGATCCCTTTTCCCCAATATTTAAGAAGCACAAAGTGCCGTTGTTAGGAAGCATTTGGCACAAAATGGTGAATTTTACTGGAAATAAAATGTGGGATGAAGTTGCTTTTGTAATTGCTGAATGGGATATTTAAATAAAATGTCAGGTTAGAATAAACAATTTTCAGTTAAAAGCTTTGGAAGAAGAAAATCCTTTACAGTGTTGGTGCCCTTTTAGTTTTTCTTTATGCTTTTCTAGATTCATATTTTTGAATTTTTAAAAATTGTACTACAACTCTAATTTTGGAAAGTGACCATTAGGACTCATTTTATTTTAAAACTCTTGTTTCAGCTGTATTCAGATATGCGTGCTGCTAATGCAGGTATGAGTTAGTGAAAAGTAAGAGTAGTGTATAGTTGAAGGAGATTGGAATGGCACTTCAGAGGCACAAGCAAACAAGTTGAGATTGACAAACTATTTTGTACTTCGTGATTTTATTTTTTCCAAATCCTTGTGATGTTTTACTCTATGTAAATGCAGTGGCCTCGCGTTTAGTCATTCCATGCACCTTGGTGATCTCCCTTATTCTCTTTTTAAATCATATTTTCTAAAAACAAATTAAAATCAGATAAGTTGTGGGGAATGGGTTGAAATGTGGTGTGAAGATAGAAACTTGTTATTAACGTAAGCTTTGCAAAATATGCCATACAGTCACTGTGCTTGTTTTCATTCCATCATTACACGTACCTGTTTAAAGCCTCGCCTCTCAGATACTTGCCTCAGAATTCCACTAGGACTGTAACTGCAAGCCAGAATTATTCTTCTTACAACTATTGACTCAGCTTGATCGATCATTTTCTTAAAAGCTATGAAAATTGTTTACTACTTCTAATATTATTTTAGCTAGCCATGTTTCATAATCTAGGCTCAGGTGGGTGGAGGAAGCCGTTTTGCTGTAATAGTCAAAACCAACTGCAAGCTGCGTCACTAGCCTTGTGGTTTCCTCTCTTGAAGATGTTGGAGGTGGTTGGAGTACAAAGTCTTCAAAGAGTAACCTTTCTCTTTTGGCATGGTGAGACTATCCTAGTACATTAATAGTCTGCTATAAATAAATGTTTTATCACCAACATTAACAGTTTGTAAAAATTAACCCCCTACACCCTTCTCCCTCAAGAATGCATGTTGGAGAGCTGGAAAATACCATGGTGGGCAAGAAGGATGCCTTTGTCTCAGGAAATAGGCATTGCTGTTGAATGTTTAAAAAAATGTGTGCTGATAAATTGGTCAGTTGCATTTAAATGCTGTATGCATTTTATAC